ATAAGCATCTGCAGAGTGGTTTAAGAAAGCCCACTTAAAATGTTGTTAATAGTAATGGCAATTAAACCTTACATTTTTATAATGTTTATATTCAAATAACTTCATTCTTCACATGCTGTAGATGTCCAGGCTAAACTCACCAGTTGCTTTTGTGTTTCTTTTATAGGCAAGAACGGGGTTGCTCATGAATCTTATGGGAGTTCTGCTTCTTAGCTTGGCTATGAACACGTGGGCCAAGAGCATCTTCCAGCTGGGGACCTTCCCTGCGTGGGCTAACATCCATGCAGAAAATGCCACATTGCTCTTGCCAGCTGTAGAAAATGTCACTTTTAGTGCACTGAATAAAATATGAACAAAGCCACCCCAGGGGAAGGACTCACTCACTTAGGACTTGGGCACTGGAATCGTCAGCGCGTGCACAGGAAGAAGACCCCATGGCTGCCCACACTGCATGGGACCCTTGGATTAAATTTTATTTTTAGCAATACCAGTCGGTGCCACAACATCCGATTTTGATTTTCTCTGAAGATCCTTCCCCCCCCCCTTACACAGATTCTCCCAGAGAATTTCAGCTGTCCCTCACAGGTGGTTGTTACCTGCACAGCCCTGTAAGTGTCGAGCATCTGTGGGTGGGTGCCTCTCCCCCCGTGAAAGCTACTGAGCTGTGCTGCTCCAGCTTCTGATACCCTTCCTCGTTTTGGAGAGCAGCCCTGGGTGGAGGCAAGTGGATTATTTCCATGCAACCCAACGTGAGTGAGTGTATCAGAACCTGGCTGGGTAGGAGGCAGCATGGGCCGGGTGCTCCTGGCAGAACCGTGGAGACTGGGGGCTCGGTATGATCTCATGAGTAATTCTCTCATGTAAGGACTCAGACTATTTCTTCAGGTTTGTGCATGAAAGGATGATTCAGGAGATGTGTCGGTAGGACTCAGTGCATTGCCCCATGCTTTGGGAACAGGAAAGGACCAGTTTGTTTCCAAACCTGTGCAATGTTTTGAAAACCTGGATTTCAGTCACTGCCTGGCTCTTTGCACTGAATGCAGATGGAGGTTTGGGGCCAAATTTATTTCTGACATAATTGTGTGGACATCGGTGGTGTTTCAGCTTTGGGAACGTGGCCAGTCTTAGGTTTGTGAGGCTGATACTTGTGAGCGACCTGCTGAGTCACAGGTCAGTGGGCAAGCTGCGCTGGAATATTATTGACATTTCTGAAAAGTAGGCTTTGATTCTTAACATCTTTTTATTTCTGATTGCTTGGGTACTTTCAATGAAAGCATTGCAAATTGACTGTGATTTTAATCACCGTTTTATCCTTTTTTTTTTTTTTTAATTTCTGTAAGAATCTAAAATATTTAATTTTAAGGATCAGTCATTGAAATAGATAGAAGGGAAGGTAAAGAATCTGATTCTTGGTTTAAGGAGGGTTGGTGACTGGACTCTGGATTGGGCTCCACTGGGTCTTTTCTCTGATGGTGTGGGCTGGTGACACAGCTGGTGGCACAGCTGGTGGCATGGGGTGAGGATCCAGCCCGTCCCTCATGCCCCCATGCTGCTGACAAAGCTCAGGGCCAGGCTGGAGCTGGCAGGGTGATGCAGCCCTTGGGGCCAGCGCTTGCTGCTGCTGCTGCTGGGTATTACCTTAAGGTCACACTTAGGCAGGGACTTGAGGTTGAACCGAAACCTCCAAAACTAGCCGAACATGGAACTTTGATCAATCAAGTTCAGAAAAAAACAATCCTTAATGTTCAACAAAATCCTTCAGCTTAACAAAATCCGTAATGATCATGGAAAATGTACAATAAAGCACATTTGTTAGCACGTCGCTTTGTCCTGTTTGCTCTGTAGACAGAGGGAAGAAAAGCAAAGCCTGAGCCACCCCCTCCCCTAGCTTTCCCCCTGTGATTTTGGCATTGTTCCCTGGGAGGAACAGGAGATCTTCCTGCCAGCCTCCCAGGGCTCGGGCTCTCTGCATCGATGGGCTTTGTCATGCTGTGGTGAGCCCAGGCTGGACTGGGAAGGGCGAGTAGAGCAAGTTGCTCCCTGCAGGTCCCTTTCCCAGCTGTCTGGATGCGAACAGCGTGGTGCTGCTGTCCCAGGGCCAGGGGGCAGGAAGGAACCCCGCTGTCCCTGATCCTGTTCCCCAGCTAGGGCTGCTGCTCCTGCAGGGAGCCGCCGTCGGCTGCTGGAGCATCTGCTGTGTCCCCATCCCTGCGCCAGGGGTGGGAAACTGAGGCAGGGAGGGGGTTGGGGACCTCCCCGTGGTCCCACAGTGTGGCCTTGGCAGACCTGGGAAAGGTGCAAGGAGCACCAGGATGCTAAGCCCCTGCTTTAGTCAAAGACCTGGCTTCTGCCTGCTTTAACTTCTTCAGAAGCAGGAGGCTGTGTGCATTTCCCGGGGCCTCCAGAGGATCTGGTTAAGGCATATGGATGGCACCATCAACTAATTCTGCTTTTCCGTATCTAGGCATCTATGAGAGCAGGACTGTTCTGGCTTTTATTATTTTATTTTATTTTATTTTATTTTATTTTATTTTATTTTATTTTATTTTATTTTATTTTATTTTATTTAAGCAGATTTAAAGATTTAGTATTTCTGGGGCTCAAGGTTGAACCTACATAAATAAGCTACAGTTCTGCTTGCTGCTAGTGCTAAAAATCACTGAAAGAAGCTTTTTACGGTAAGTCACCCCTATTATTCTTGAAGGTATTGTGATGTGGCTAGAGATATGAAAAATCCCTGGAAAGGGCATTTTGAATGCTGTATTAACCTTCCATTACTAAAACCCTGTTATTTCAGAGGAACTTTGCCTGCCTATGTACCAGTTCTCTAGGAATGCAGGAATCCAACAACTGCCACAAAAGCCACTCACATTAGCAGCCTGCTTGTGAATTTTAATTAAACAGGAAATGCCACTCATGCATTGAAATTCAACATCCAGAATATCTCTGCTTTACTCCTTTGATGTTTCCCATCCAATTTGGGATGAATGTCCACATGTTCTCCTGAGACGCTTGGAGGAAAATCGTTCTGGTTTATTTACAGTAGGAAAGCATTTTGTAGGGTCTTTTATTCCAGAAGCGTTTGGGTGTCTTTACAAACTGTTCGCACAGACAACCAGCACCGTGGGGCTTTGCAGCACTGAGCAGCTCCAGGGCTGTGCACAGCCTGGCTGTACCCAGCAGCGATGCGCGGAGTGAGAGTCCTGACACAGAAATCAGGGCATGATGGGCAAAATTAAGCTGTTGCAGGTCTGGTAACATTGGCTCCCTTGTCATATTCATCCCAGATTAGTCACCAAGTTTTGCTGGGATTTTTCTGTATTTCTATAGTAGAAACCACCGACATGAGCTGACTGTATCACTGTAAGTTTTTCATTTGCACGTGGTTTTAAACAAAGAAAGTGTCACCGCTGTTGGGCTGATCCCTCCCACACCCTCAATTTCTTGATTTGTGAAAGTACCTTCAGCCTTAAATCATAGCAGTTCTGCACCTCTGTTATCACCCAGACATTGTCTTAAAATTCATAGCAGGGGGCACCCCAGACTGCTGCTGCTGTCCTTTGCAGCCCTGTGCAGCACCGTCACCACGTGGTGGCTGCCCTGTCACCGCAGGTCGGACTCACGGGTGTCCTAGCAAGATGCTCTGCGTCTGCTAAAGTGCTAGGAAGTCTACACTAGGGATATCAGAGCAAGAAAATTATAGATCCTGAGCTCTGTGGAGACTGGAGCCTGCCAAGCCCAGCCATCCCATGGTGTGCTGGGCCATGAACTCCTGGTGACTGGCCAGGGGAGGCCTCTTGAAGCACCCCAGGGACACAGAGCACACACATCCTGCTCACCAGCTCGCCAGCCCCAATTTTCTCCTTCACTTCCTCAGTTTTCCTTAGAAGTCTCCAGTCACTGACAGCTGTAGTTTATGAGCTCAGATGAACGCAGACCTTGAAGTACTCTAGCAGAGCCTGGCCGCAAGATGTCACAGTTGCTTCATGGAGCTGGCACAGTCCTGGCCATGTCCTGCACCCCAGCCCATGCACATCTGTATGGAGGTCTACAAACACACGTGCTCACTCACAGCATTCTTTTCTTTTCTTTTCTTTTCTTTTCTTTTCTTTTCTTTTCTTTTCTTTTCTTTTCTTTTCTTTTCTTTTCTTTTCTATTCTTTCTTTTCTTTTCTTTTCTCTCTCTTCTCTTCTCTTCTCTTCTCTTCTCTTCTCTTTCTCTTCTCTTCTCTTCTCTTCTCTTCTCTTCTCTTCTCTTCTTTCTCTTCTCTTCTCTTCTCTTCTCTCTTCTCTCTTCTCTTCTCTTCTCTCTCTTCTTTCTCTTCTCTTCTCTTCTCTTCTCTTCTCTTCTCTCTCTTCTCTTCTCTTTCTCTTCTCTTCTCTTCTCTTCTCTTCTCTTCTTTTCCTTTCCTTTCCTTCCTTTCCTTTCCTTTCCTTTCCTTTCCTTTCCTTTCCTTTCCTTTCTTTCCTTCCTTTCCTTTCCTTTCCTTTCCTTTCCTTTCCTTTCCTTTCCTTTCCTTCTCTTTCCTTTCCTTCTTCCTTTCCTTTCCTTTCCTTTCCTTTCCTTTCCTTCCCTTTCCTTCCCTTTCCTTCCCTTTCCTTCCCTTTCCTTTCCCTTTCCTTCCCTTTCCTTCCCTTTCCTTCCCTTTCCTTCCCTTTCCTTCCCTTTCCTTCCCTTTCCTTCCCTTTCCCTTTCCCTTTCCTTTCCCTTTCCCTTTCCCTTTCCCTTTCCCTTTCCCTTTCCTTTCCCTTTCCCTTTCCCTTTCCCTTTCCTTTCCCTTCCCTTTCCCCTTCCCTTTCCTTTCCCTTTCCCTTTCCCTTTCCCTTTCCCTTTCCTTTTCCTTTTTCCTTTTCCTTTCCTTTTTTTCTTTTTCCCCCTTTTTTTCTTTTATCCCCCCCCCACCTTTTTAAATATATATATATATTATACTTAAATTTTGTTTATGTATTTATTTATTTATAATGCAGAGCAAGCTTGTTCATTGTGCCCTAGGAAAAGTTAGGCAATTATTGTTTCGGCTCGTTTTCTGGCTACTGGTTTGGTGTATATAACATCTTAGCCCGCCCTCAGGCCCCAACCCACAGGGAACGATTTGGAGCCAAGTGGAGGCTTTTTGGCCAGGTTTGCTGAGGGATACAAACACTTTTCGCTGCCCAGAGCCACTGGACAAACATAGCCTCCCTGCAGCCTTCAACTCCCCTTTGCTGTATGAGTGCAATCTTATCTCACTGCAATCCTCACCCTACTGCTGGCTAGGATGAGGCAAGTGGTTTCCCACTAGAGGACAGTGACACCCCAGTCCCCATGTGATGCTTCTTCCATCCTGGTCACTCCGTACTGACTCATTTTTCTTGGCCATGTGTCATTACACCAGGATTTCTCCACTAGCAGTAAGAGCCAAGGAGGTGCAAAGCCTGGGCAGCACTGGAGTGGGGTTACTCTTGGACTGTCTGTACCAGCTTTGCCTTCTCACATCAGGAATTGCCAGCATTTGCTGACCTTCGTTTTGGCTTTGAGTCCTTGCTCCCTGGTGCCAGGTGCCTTGGTTTCCTACCGTGGGTCACCCAGCGGCTGCCTCCAACATCCTTTCTGAGAGTGACGAGGCACCGGAGCATGGAGAGCTTACGGGCAGGGCTGGGGCACATCTCTGCTGCTTGGTACGTAGTGTTTGCCTCGCTCCCTCTGCTTCCCTTTTTCTGCTGAAAAACCTTCAGTAAATGGATTAGCTGGGCTTGCCAGGCAAAATTCTTCCTCCATCTCTCCTGCCAGGACGGGGGAGATGGGATCAGCCTGGTGGGGTCTGATCCTGGGGAGGGGGTTGCAAATTGTGGTGGGAGAATCCTTCTCCCCACCAGGTTTTCTGGTCTCTGGAGAGTCATTCCTCCTCTGAGGCCTGAGAAATGGTATTTCTTCCCAAACATTTGTTTTCATTAGACATTTAAATAGCTCTATGGGACATTTCATCCTGTCTGCAATGGCCAAATTCTTATCCTTGGAGATTTCCTCTGGCACTGAACATTAGTGTGAAACTGTTTTCTCTGATCGGCTCAGTATTTGTCACCTTAAACTTGCTGCCTTTTGTCTGCTTTCCTATTAAGAAGAAGGGAGAGCAGAGACTCCTACTCCACCTCCTCCAATCCATTGAACTCCTTTTAATTACAAGGCTAACTAATGATTTCCAGAGCGGCCAGGCACCTCCTCTTTGCTTTTCTTGCCCCAGCATCCTCTAACTAACCACCAGAGCCGCTCCTAGCCATGGCTAGAGCTCAGCCCTCCAAGTGGCTTTATTATGGTTTTTATAGAATATAATGCTTTCCTCTGCTGATGTTAAAGGAGGAGCTGTAGCATTGTAATTGGCACTTCAAGAAATGCCTTGAACTTTCCTGGCCCATGTGGCTGCAGGAAAGACCTCAGTGTCAACAGCTCGGCTCGGCAGAGAGGCAGAGTGAGACCAGAGGCACTCAGAGAGGGAGGTCACAAAGCCCCCTAATTAGTGCCTCTCTATTTCCTCTGCTAACACCCCGCCACTTGTTCTTTGCACAGGTTGAGTGTCTGTGCCTACTGTGAAGACTTTCTGTTCCCAAGGGTGAGCAGGATGGCGGCAGATCTGTGGTGCATTTACTCCAAGCCGGTCCCTGCAGGCAGCAGGGAGCTGTGGGCCTTGTTCCTGCAGTGCTCCTGCCTCACCGCTGTGGTCGGAGGCCTCTTCTACAACTGGCTCTTTGCCTCCCTGGAGTACTCCTGGCACCTTGCTGTGGCCATGGCTGTCTCCTTCAGCCTGCTCCTCCTCCTGACCCTGTTCCTGGTGCACCCTGCCCGCTGTGTCTTCAGCATGATCATGCCCACGTTGGGCACCAAGCAAGGTCGGAAGCTCCTCTTGTCGACCTGCATCATGATTGTGGCGGTTAATGTGACCCCAAACATCGTGAGCAACATTAAAACCATTCTGCAGGTCATCAAGTGCATCTGCAAGAATTCCTCCGAGAGCTTGCTGAACTCGACTGCTCTGTTGGGGACAGCTTCCTGGGAGTTTGGGGAGGAGATCCAAGCAGCCGGTAACTCCATTAATATTTGGAGGCCTATGAACGGGCATTTTAGGTTTTCACTGCTTCACAACAGCTCCCTGATTAACCAGCAGATGCACCTGGCTGGTGAGAAGGTCAGGAGGGACTTTTTGGCTGTTGAAGAACTGGTCAAAGACTCCGTACGAGTGGGCAACAAACTGGTTGCTGGCTTTTCCGTGCTCTACCTCTGCTTTGAGTCTGCGTGGTATCTGAAAAATTACCTCACCAACCTCCGCTTTGACAATTTTTACATCACCAAGAAGCTGGAGCGTTTAGCTGTGGACAGAAAAACTCCTCACCTGCTGGGGGGCTCGTCCAAAAACCTCATTCGGCCCACGGGCCTGAAGTTGTCCCGGGAAGAAGTGCTGCTGTGCCTGGTGCAGGCCCTGCGCCTCACTGTGGCCCTGACGCTGATGCTGGTGGTGGTGGCAATGGACCACGTCGCCTTCAGAGTGGCAGACACAGCCGTGAGGAAGGTTGCTCATCTCTCCGTGGTGCCCGTCACGCTCAGCATCAAATACAGCGTGAGTGCCAGGTCCCCTCCTGCTCAGGACATGCTTCTGTATCGGCTTCTCTGTCCCTCTAACTAAGCTCTGCTTGGGGCTGCGTTTCTGTTCAGTGTTCAGGAGGGATGGAGAGAGGAGGGGGCTCGAGACAGCTGCTACTGAAAAGGAAAAGTCACAGAAAAGTGTCAGCCACAGTGGGCAAAATATCTCCTGCACCATGTCTGTGGGGGGGGGGAAGGCACATCTCTTGGCTTCCCTCTGTGGGGTACCTGCTGTGTTGTACCACATCACGGGAGGTGTCGGTGGAGACAGCTACCTGTGGGGCTTTACATGCTGCCTTCTTCCCTCCCCAGCAGCCAGCTGGACAAGCAACACAAGGCTTGGGTATGTGGGGAGGTGCAAAACCAGGCACAGCCTCAATTTCTCCTTCCAGTGCAGCACATACCTAAACAGCAGCTCCCAGTCCCAGCTTTTTAGCTCAGATTCCTGCTAATAGTAAAACAATCAGGGCTGAGAAACACACCCTAATATTCAAATATGCAGCTCCTGGTACCCTCTAGACTATATTTCACTGTGAATCTCACATGGAGCACCCCATCACGGTTGCTGTGGCAGCAGGTGAAGATGACGGGACTGGATCTCACCGTGCCATGTACTCGGTGCCTACTCCAGTTGCAGTTATTCCTGCTCAGCCTGAGGCACATTTCAATTCCCTGTCTCACTGCACCCAAACAAGCTGTAAGGGTGACTGCACACCTCCAGACTGATATTTCTGTGGTAACCAGTTGGGTTTGTTCCATTCATACCCCATTTAATCTCTTACTCTTTTTATTCCAGGCTAAAATACAGCTCCTGCCTTTTATACTGAGTCTGCTTCAGCTCCCTGACATAGAATCAACCCTGCGGGACTTTGAGAAGAGTTACCATCACTACCTGACCTTCAGCTCTGCCCGCTGCAGCATCAGCCCCCCGCTGCCCCCCAACCCCTCTGTGCTGTTTGTCATGGTGCTGCTCTTCTGCATCATCTATGCCACCGTGTTTCTGGAAACCTACGCACGCCGCCTGTGCAGGAAAATCGCGGCCTCCTTCTTCGAGAGCCGGGAGGAAGAGCGAGCACTTTACCTCTACAGCAAGCTGTCCAGGAAGCATGCGGAGGAGCAAAGCTGTCCAAAAAACTGAGGCCTCTTTGGGAAACACGAGGAAACACCTTGTGGCAGTGGCTGGGTGCAGGCTTCTGCAAAGGGATCACCAAATTCATTTTTTTTTAGAGTCAGAGAAGTGGTTGGAATCCAGGAAAAATATTTGGGAAAAAAAAAAAAAAAGAGAGAGAGAGAGAGAGAGAGAGAGAGAATGAGAGAGAGAAAAGCCAAATGTTAATATTTAATATTAATTTAAGAAAAAATTGGCAAAACTTACTAGTCTTTTTTTTTTTCTTTTTTTTTTTCTGGAGTCAGCTCTTCCAGGACCAGTGGAAAAAAGACCTGATATAGTTCATATGACTGGGATGACTGGGAAGATGTTGGCAGTATTAGGCAAGGCTAACTGGGAAATATGTGGGAGTCAGGGTGGGGGAAGAGCTCCTTTACCTCCCCCCGGCCCTGCTGGAGGAAGTGCACACTTCCTTTTTCTCTGACATTATCCCACAGGCAGCAAGAAGGAAAACCCATTTGAGATGATTAATTTAATTGTTGAGGAGTTTTTCTTTCAGTTTTTGTGCATAGAGATCTGTGTAGGTGGGATAATTATTAGCCTTTAGAAGATGGTTTATTCACACACACACACTCACAAAAAATGTTTTTTAGCCTGCTGACATGCATTGAAGACCCACACGACCACAAGATGGGCATGGACCCACCTCCTGGGCATGGGTGGGGGTGGAAATCAGCGTGTGAGGACTTGCTGAAATCACTTCACCAGGCCTCTCCAAAATAACACAGATAAAATAGTTGAAGGACCGCAGAAGAGGATGAGACCAGCCAACAAAAGGTCAGTTCAGGCCGATGTACTGGGGAACTTTACAAGTGTGAGGCTGAAACCTGACAGCCGAGCCCATGCTCAGTGGGGAACAGAAAGGGGCAGGACGTGGAAGGCTGGACTTGCCTAAAGCAGTAGCTTTATATGTTGGGTTGCTTCAAATTCTGGAAGGATGATGCTGTATCTAATATGCCAAAATTCATCACTGGAGCCACATCTGAGACATCACTTCTGAAAGAGAGGCAGATCAGAAGCTGTGTAAGGGCAACAGCCAGAAGGAGAGGAAGCTAAACTGGTGCTGGGTTAAAAACAAAGTAACTTTGCAGCTTCATTTCTTCAAAGCATCTCTATTATTTTCCTCTTGTCTCCCATTAGGGTTTTCATTAGGGTAATTATTTGACATAATGCACTTCAATGAGATTAAATTACAGAAGTGAAGTGGCAGCTGCAGATACAAAAAATTCTCTCAGCGTCTGAGATGCTTGAAACAAAGTAGGTCTGGATTATTTTTTAAGCATCTATCTAACAAAACCCTGGTGTATTTATCTCCCCAGGTTTCTTAATTCCCTGCTGTTATAATGATTAATCTAAGCACCTTTCTGCCTCTGCAGCTGCCAGAGTGCTTTGTCATGAGGTTTCTCTAGCAAACACTCTGTGATGTTCTGTTTAGGGAAGGAGAAAGATTTCCACGTGCCCATTGAGTAGCCAAAATTACCTGGAGCCAGGGGTTAAAGATCTGCAAGGAGACCAGGGGAACCCTTCATTTGGCAAGCCAGCAGCACGTGGCCTTCCAACGAGCACATCTTTTAAAGCAGTTTTCCTTGAGAAGACTCATCTTTTTGGCAAGAGACATACAGTATACGTACATACATACATACATGCATACATACAGAGACATACATTACCTTTTAAGAAATCATTATTTTTCAGCCAGTAGCATTTGGAAAACCTCCCTGAGCAATGTCCAGGTCCAGAGATGGGTCTCCAGGTTCAGGTGGGGGTTTGGAGCAGAGAAGATCCCAGAGCTGGACTCCGAGGACTATGAGCCACTCAGAGTGTCCCACTGCATCCTTCGCACTGGTGCTGCCTTGCACTGGTGTGAAGGGCTCCTGAAACATCCATTTTCAGCCTGAAAATTCCTCTTCGCTAGGAAAAACTGACCCTGGTTCGGCTCAGTTCTCCCTTCTCCTGTGCAGAGCTTCCTTCAGCTTCCCCCTAAATTTTAACCACTAAAGGCTAATTCTGGAAACTTTATGCTTCCAGACAGTAAAGTTCAGCATCAGAGAAGCCTTGATTAGGGTAATTACATCAGCTTGAAAGGATAATAATCAGCGAGGCACTGCTGCTCTGCCCGTGCTCCTGGAGTCACAGCCGTCATACACCATCCTGAGGCAGAGATGTGCTGTCTTCTCTGTTCTGCAGGTATGTCTGCAGGGACTAAGGAGATTTTATTTTTGTTTTGTTCTGTTTTGTTTTATTTTATTTTTTGGTGCACATCACACCATTTTTGCTTGTGTCAGTGATGGGAGCTGTGTATAGCAGAGCCCACCTTGCATGCAGCACCCACGGGCCAGTTCTCCTGCCCTGTTTTGTGCCTCTGCCACAGGAGGCAGCTGTGGCTTCGCCCATAGGTTTCAGCTTCAGCAGATGAAGAAACCAGCAAGGGGAGAATTTGGGCTTGGAAGGAGCATCGGAAGCAATCAATGGTCTTTTCTCATGGCAATGCTGGGGTTTGTTCACTGGAAAGGAGGGCAATAAATGCGATGTGTTACACCATCAGTGTCGTGAATTGTCATTGCGTTGGTGTCAGAAGTGTGGGTTTGTTTTTTTTGTGTGTTTTTTTTTGTGTGTTTTTTTTTTTTTTTTTTTTTTTTTTTTTTTTCTGATGTAGGAAGAAAAGTCACTTTAATAACTTATGGTTATTTTAGAGAAGAAATCATATTGGTGTTAAATATGTGTGCGCTGAAGGCTGATGGAATTGAACACCATGGCGAAACAAATGCACCCGAGGCTGCCATTGTTGGGGTCGGTGGCACCACCCGACCACATCATACGGAGATGACCATTGGAGCTGTATGGAGGAGAAAGGGGATGTTGAAAGCTGTCTCTGCATCACTGTGCCACTTACCCCACTTGCTTTGCTGATGAGAAACTAAATCAGAAGCTGTGACTTCCCTGTGCCTTACCCATTGCCCAGCATCACCCCAGAGTGGTGCCAGCACCATGGGGACATCCCAGGAGCTGGTGGGGGCTGGGTCCTGTGCTGGCCATGTCCTATAGGGAACCTTCAGGCTCGAATTTAGGAAGCAAATGTTTAGGAAACATTTAGGAAGCTCAGTCAGGGTTTTTTTTTTTTTTTTTTTTTTTTTTGGAGAGGATTAGCTATATTTGAGGCTTGAGCCATGTCTGAGGCTTACTTTACTCCTCATTGAAAATGGATTTGCCACTTCTTTGGGAAAGGGAATACAGAAAAAAAAAAACACTGCACCCACTCTGCAGCTTCCTCACTGCCCCCGCGGGCTCTGCAGGGCTGGATTTCACCACTTCTGGCAGCTGGGGAGCTGAGAAGTTGAAAGTTCAGGGCCAGGCACTGGTGGGTGCTGAGGACAGAGGCAGGGCTGTGGGGCTCTGCAGGAGCCAGTGGGCAGCTGGCAATGGGGCCAAATCCCCTTTTTAACACCCCTGTTGCTCATTAATGCCAACACCAGCCCAGATCTTTGCTGATGCCAGATGTGGGCATGTTCGCCTGTTTTCTCCTTTACACTTGTAGGGGTTTGCGGTTTCTTACCAAACTAATTAAAGGCGTTAATTACATGAAAGAAAGGCCCACGGATTGCTCTTTCCTCCACTAGTGTGGTCAGCCCAGGGGATGGAAAGATCCTCAGGCATGGGACAGGATCTGCCCTGAAGCCCCTGTTATCCTTGGGGTTTTGTCATGTATTTTTGTGGGTTTTCACCTTAAACAAGTGCAAGTGTAGATAACATATACGCTAAGTTCCTGCTTCTGGCTGGCTGGCTGGGGAAATGAATGGCCTTACTATATAGCAGCAAATGTGAACTGTCCAGCTAAGGTAATGCTCTGGGAAAGATTTCATTCAGAGCCACAAGCCTACATCCACCAGAGCAGCAAACCAACCAACCAACCACCTCTCTCCAGAAATATGTCCTGAGTTTTGATCAAAGTCCATTTGTAGTGTGTTTATCCTATTTATAGCCATAACTGCAATGAAGAAGCAATGGTTACGTACACCAGCTTTTAGAGAAGGCAATATAAATAAACACAAAAGCTAATAAAAGCTATTTCACAGCATGGTCTGTACTCTGCCCAGCTCGCCATGCCACACTGTGATGGGAGGACAGAACTGCTCCCAGTGCCACCAGTACCACTCATCCCAGTAACGCTGCTGGTGTTGAGGATATTCCTCCAAACCCTACGGACAGCTGGGGATGGGGAGAGCCCCTTTCAGACAGGGTTTTTGTGCCGTTCCTGCAAGGAACAGCCTGCTCTGGGGCCTTGGCTGGGCTGCAAGGTGCTGTATTGGGTCTGGCTGGAATGTTAACTTTCCCAGCAGCAGCCCATACAGTGCTGTACTCTGTACTTGTAGCTGGAACAGCAGTGTTATCACATCAGTGTTGTGTCTGCTGCTGAGCAGCAGTGGCACAGTATTAGGCCTTTCTCTAACCCTCCTAGGGGGTGGGCAAAAGGTGAGGAGAGAAACATCACCAGGGCAGCTGGCCTAAACCAATCAAAGGGATATTCCATACCATGTGATGTCACACTCAGCAATAAAAGGTGGAAACAGGAAGAAGAGGGGAGGGGTGGGCACTCGTTGAGAAGACGTCGGTCCTCCTCTCGAACACCGGCTGCATGCGTTGAGGCCTTGCTTCAAGGACGTGGTCAATCATCGCTCATTTGTGGGAAGTAGAGAGTAATTTCTTTCCTCTGCACTTCCATATAGCCTTCATTTATTTTGTTTGTTTGTTTTCCTCCCTTCCTTTTATTTTCCTTTTTTTCCCCTCCCTTTCCCCTTTCCCTTTTTATTTTCCCCTTAGTTAAATTGTTAGTTCATGGTAGTCTTTATTTAATTATTATAATTATTTCCCTTTAATTAAATTATCCTTATCTCAACCCGTGAGTTGTTCTTTGCTTTACTTCTCCCCCTCCTCATCTAAAGGAGGGGGAGTGAGAGAGCGGTTGTGGGGTTTAGCTGCCCAGTACGGTAAAACCACCACAGGTGCTGCTGCCAAAACAAGAGGGATGGAAAAGAGACGAGGTGTTATCTTTAGAGGTAAGAGGTGATAAACAAACCGCTATCTAAGTGCAAAGGTTGCCAGAGGCTGATTTGAAGCAGAAGAGATGTCAGCACTGTGCTGTCCTGAACCAAT